TCGGAGATTTGCTTATGAACATGGGGCCCCTCGGGAGTTCCATGTGGTTGTGTAGAAAACAATGTCCTTGAGTGTTTAGTAATGCGACTGACAAGCGGAATTCCTGAGCTCTATTCATGTCTGCCAGTGATTCACTTTGGAAAGTCACTTGGAGCAAAATTTTCATGGCACTCATAGCACCCACTGACTTCAGTTAGAGTTGTGGAAGCTCAGTACCTCTGAAAATCAGTCCATCGGCATCTTAGTTTGGACAATCCAAAACTAAGGTACCCAGAATTAGTGGGTTCTTTTGAAAATTCTTCCCAAAGCCTGTGTCTCAATTTATCCATTTGTAAATAAATTATATTATCTTCCAGAGGCAGAATCCTTGACTGTTCCCACCATTGAAACCATTTCCCTGATCTGATAAAGTGGTGCATGTCTTCTGAATCTTACTTGATAACCAAATTGCAATGATCTGAATTATATATTTCCAGCTTTTTGGCAAGGTTTGTGCATGCAGTCCTTTCTCACAGACACACCTGCCATGGTGACACATGCCTTTGAAATCTATACGTAGGAATACTGAGCATTTAGATTGAATGAATAATGGCAGGACGATAAATCTTAATTTCAGAGTCCCTGCCAGAGCTCAGGCTCTCACACCTGCCCAAGCTCCAGCCCGAACTGCAACATGCACTAGCTGATGCCCCACTAGAGCAAATCCGTCTATCCAGGCTGGGAGACTCACTCCCAGCTGCTGTGTAGACATAACCTTATGCTTTTGGCAGTAACCTCAGATAGGGCAAGAAGAATCCCTTCTCTGCCTCTCATGTGGATAGAGAAGTGGAATAACTTTGGAAGAGTGTTTGTTGATGGTCCCATCGGAAGCAGAGACACTGCCCAGGCTCTTCTTCCATGTGGTCTGGAGAGAAAAAGAGAGTATGAACATCCTGGTCCCTATGTGGTGACTAGAAATAAGCATTTCAAAGTAGGAGCTGCCCTGCTTCTCACAAGATGCCAAGGGAGATCAGTTATCTGCCAGTTTGCCAGCTGATAATGCCAGTATACAAGATGGAACTGATTGGTGCTGAGAAGGGAAGTTTTTGAGAGGTTAGTGTATGCTGGTGGAGGGGCAGATAGAAGGTAGCGCAACAGAGGGGATGGTTGCGGTGGGGAGTGTTGGGGGACAGAAGGACAGGTCAATGAAGACTTCTACTCAATATACAGTAGCGGTCAAAAATACAAACCAAATATTATGATGGATAAAGAATGGAATAGAAAATAATATTAAAATAACATGGTGACCTAAATCAATAGCATTCTTTCACCTGAAATACTGTGGTCAATTCTGGTCATTCATCACAAAATAGGAGCCCAAAAAAGTATGACTAAAATGATTATAGATATGAAAAGATGTCAGTGTCAGGAGAGAGTGAAAATATTGGGAGCACATAGGTTTAGAGAGATGATTAAGAGGGAAAACAAAACAATAGATTATACTAGATAATGAATGATATAGATGGATGTTCTTATTTACCTTTATCTTATTTTACAAGAACAAAGGTGCCATCCAATGAAACTGAAAGGCAATACATTTAAAACTGATGTAGAAACGCTTCTTTTTTTACACAAGGCATAACTGATCTGTGAAACTCTCTGCTACAGGATATTGAAACTAAAAGATTCATAGGATTTTTTAAAAAAGACATTTGTATGGACAATTAGAACATCCATAATTACATTAAATAGAATGGGAAAAAAGAAGACATGCCATCTTAATAATTATTTCGGCATCTGAGAGTACTGATCTTTGGTGTATTTGATGGTTGAATTAGAGAAGTTTTGCTCCTAAATCTAGGTTTGCATTGGTTTTGGAGAATTTATCAAAGGAGACGGAATGACTTCCTGGAACTTTGTCTCTGTCTTGAGTGATAAAATTGGTGAGGATGTTGGTAACTGCTAGTAGGTGTGTCTTTGATCTGTGGGCAACCACAGACATCATTTAAGCTGATAGGTGTGCTATCGACCTTTCATTCACCCTAAATGAGGGAGCAATTAAGTGCCCTTTTGTTTAGTGATAGAAGTTACCTTCCAAATCATGGACTAGCATGTCAAAGCTGGAATAGAAGCTGAACCATGTGGTCTGGGGACTGATTGGATTGCAGCTATGTACATGTGTGTCTGGGTGTCAGAAGTAGAAAGCTAGAAGAAAAAGCAGCTAGAGGAAGTCGGGGACAGCCAGAGAAGCACTGCTAGCATGGCCCTCAGAAGCCAAGAGAGAGAGCTTCTTTTGGGCAGAGTGCTGGCTGGAAAGACAGATTTGGACCTGTGAGCAATGAAACCTTCTTGCTGTTTATTCCTACTGTGTTCAAGGAAACAGGACTTTGTGCACTTTGTACAGGATTTTGTAAATAAACAGGAATACACCAAAGAAATACCTGACTCCATATAATTAATTCCTCCTCATAATGGAAACAGTCTCTAAGGCTCTGAATGCTGGCTAACTGCTTCAGCTAATAGGGTCAACAATACCTTAAACTGTATAAACTCTTCTCCCACCTCTGGAAGGTTTGTTATCTCTCCTTTGCATTTTGTGAGATGCTAAGTTAATGTTGAAGGTTCTAGCCTCAGCTCTATCTTGCAAAAAGAAGAACAGGAGTACTTGTGGCACCTTAGAGACTAACAAATTTATTAGAGCATAAGCTTTCGTGGACTACAGCCCACTTCTTCGGATGCTCTATCTTGAAGTTGCAACTTGGTGTCTGATTGTCTAAAAATTTTGTCAAGAACCTCTTTAAAAACAATCAGTGAAAGACCACTTAAGCAATCCTGAGGTTAATAACGACAGACCATGGTTTAAGCAACAGGGTTTCATAGGCCATGGTATGGTATGCCATACTGTGGGATGACATGGAAAGAGCATCTGCCAGAAACTCATGCTATTTTGATCTGGGGAGAATAGCTTTTTACATCCAGTTCTCTGATGGGAATGCTAAAAGCTCTTGGATCCATTGGAGTATGGCTTTGGAAACAAAGTCAGGACAAACTAACACCTGCAGTGCACATTCTGCCACTTCAGTGGTTCTTGGGAGCTATGCATATCTCCCATTATAAAAGATGTTGAGGCTTTTTGAGATGACTGGAATTGTTGTTTGGCAACCCATTTCAGAAATGACAGAATTCACTTTGGGATTACTGCTGTCATGGCCAACAGCTTCAGCTGGAACCATGCCAGCCAAATGTACTGCTAGTGTAAGTCATTTGAAGTCCGAATGGCACTGGTGAATTTGGCTCTTTTAATTTTTGGAGAGTCTGAGGAGTGGGCAGACTGCAATAAGTATTAATTATTACTGGATTAATTTTATACATTAGGAATATTTTCAAGAATTTGGATTCCTGATACAACTTTGTCACCAGTACCAGCCAATGATACCTGAATGTTCTCTACATTTAAGTATTTTGCTCCTTAATTAACTAAAATGGAACTATCCTATGCCTTAAATATTCTTTATGAAATGTTTTCATCCTTATAAATTTTTCCTTCAGAGCTGGACAGCTGAACAGAATTTTGCAAGAGGACAAGGCTGGATGCCTGGGAGCCTCTAGGCAGAACAGCAAACTAGAGCTGGGGGCACTCTTGTGCTTCTCTCTTGGATTTTTTGGCAGACATCTTTAATTTCAAATTTTTTAAACTTGTGGCTGATTAAATTGTAGAATAGAAGCATCCCCCTAGCTATCCCCACTGAGATGGAGTCTGAGTGAGACTTCTTCCTTACCACTTTTAGGTGATTTAGGTGACCTACTTTGCTTCAGTATTCTCTCAAAAAATTAAATGTAACTGGACGACTACCAAAGTTACCATGGACAATAAAGGGGAAGGGATGCAGAGCAGGATAAATAAAGAGCACATCAGAGATCTTCTGACCAATCTGAATGAATTCAAATCAGTGGGCTGGATGCTATTCACCCCAAGATACTGACGGGAATTAGCTGAAGAAATCTGAGCCACTGGCAATAATATATGCAAACTCATGGATGACAGGAGAGGTCCCAGAAGACTGAAGAAGGGCTAACATAGTGCCCATCTTTAAAAAGGGGGAAAAGAAGGAGCTGGGAAACTATAGACCAGTCAGCCTGGCTTTGATACCTGGAAAGCTAGAGCAAAGTATAAAACATTCAATTTGCAAATACCTGGAGGATGAATGGGTAATCACTAACAGCCAGCATGGATTTACCAACCAAACCAGCTTGATTTCTTTCTTTGACAGGGTAACTGATTTGATGGATAGGGGAAATGCGGGTGGACATAATATACCTGGACTTCAGCAAGGCTTTTGACACAGTCCCACATGACATTCTGATAAGTAAGCTGTAGAAATAGGGGCTTGACAGAACTACCATTAAGTAGGCACATAATTGGTTAAACAACTTCAAACAAAAGTAACTATTAATGGAATGATGTCAGATTGCAGGAAGGTCTCAAGTGGGGTTCCACAGGAATCTGTTCTGGGTCTGGTATTGTTTAACATCTTTATTAATTACCTGAATGTAGGTATAGAGCGCATACTGATCAAGTTTGCAGGTGACACAAAGCTGGGGGAGTGGTGGGGGTTGCCAATACGTTGGAGGACAGAGCTAAAATTCAGAAGGATCTTGATAAATTGGAGACCTGGGCTATAGACAACAAAATGAAATTCAACAAAGACAAATGTAAGGTGCTACGCTTAGGGAAGAAAAACCAAATACACAAATATAGAATGGGGGGAAACTGGGTTGGCAGCAGCACTGCTGAGAAGGAACTGGGATCACAACCACAACATGAGTCATCAAGTTGGAAAAAAGGCAAATGCAATTGTAGGTTGTATTAACAGAGGCATGGCATGCAAGTCACAAGAGGTGATTGTAACACTCTATGTGGCACTGGTTAGGCCTCAGCTGGAGTACTGTGTCCAATTTTGGTACCAATGTATAGAAAGGATGTAGAGAAACTGCAAAGGATCCAGAGGTGTGCGACAAAGATGATCAAAGGGATGGAATGCATGACATATGAGCAAAAGCTGAAGGAAATGGGTATGTTTAGTTTGGGGGGGAAAAGGAGATTTAGGGGGGATATGATAGCGGTCTTCAGATACTTGAAAGGCTGCCAGAGAAAAGTTGTTCTCTTTTGCACAGAGGGCAGGAGAAGAGGCAATGGGTTCAAACTACAGCATAGCAAATTTAGATTAAATCTCAGGGAAAACTTCCTAACTGTAAGAACAGTACGACAATGGAACAAACTGTTTCGGGAGGTTGTGGAAGCTCCTTCACTGGAGGTTTTCAAAAGGAGGCTGTAGAGCATCTGTTTTGGATGGCTTAGACACAACAAATCCTGCATCTTGGCAGGGAGTTAGATTAGATGACCCTTGCGGTCCCTTCTAACCCTATGGTTCCATGATTGCTGTCTTCATCTGGAGTATGCCTGTCAGCTGAAGAGGCACTGTAGTTAAAGGAGCTGTGACTTTCCCATGCTGTGCTTCCATAGTGGTTTTTGGCAGACAGTCAGGAACTCAGCATGTGGATACAAACAGCTGCTCGTGGATTTAGCAGGCTGCCAAGCTAGTAGCACACTCTGAAGAGTAAGACTGGTGTTCTGGCACAAAACTGCCAGTGATTCTCACTGTAGGTTCTCCAGAGCCAGTGGTTTTTGGTATTGGGCCAAAAGCACTCTCCTTCTGGAACAAAAACAAGCTAGAACCCATTTATTCAACATGGCTCTAATACTTGCCACCCAAACTGTGTTAAAAACTGGTTTAGCTGGAATCATGTGTAAGTTTCAAAGTTTTTTCTTGGCCTAATGTTGTTTGAATCAGGTTAGGATGAGTTATGTTTGATGGTGACTAAAAGCTTCTTTAAAGTATTTTTCTAACTATTGTTTAATTACCAATCTTCAAAGGACCACAATGGCACTGTTACTCTTGCTACAGAAACAAGACTGAACAAAAGAGTGTCATGAAAGCAGTGTAAAACCTCTGTGTTTTTTATCTTTCCGGTCTAGCAAGGATGTTTTTCTTACACACTCTGAAGTAGAGAAACAGTGCAGAGCACAAACATAGCATAAACTCTCAAATACAGATTTCTGAGTGATATTGTTTCTTCTTTTCAAATTTCTTAGATTCAAACACACAGTTTCTTAGTCAAGCATATCTCTGAAGAATTATTTGAGTTAGCATTATACTGACAGTTTAAAATGCACTATAGATATACTAATATTTAGTGTCCTAAAATGTAGTAAAGATACAAATGTAAGCAGTATTACTTACTTCAGTAAGCAATCAGGATCAAGGTCAACTCTCTTGAGCCAGGATTCAGGAAACCGTCAACTAGGCAAGTGGTTGGTTTTTACTGAAATTGTATTTATTGCTCACTTTTCAGGAAAAGAACATATCTAATATCTACATACCTCTAAGACTGTTCCATATTGTAAGAACTTGCAAACAGTTGTCAGGAGTAAGCGAAACTCTGAGATACACTAGACTCTTTTCAGAGTAGCAGCCGTGTTAGTCTGTATCCGCAAAAAGAACAGGAGTACTTGTGGCACCTTAGAGACTAACAAATTTATTAGAGCATAAGCTTTCGTGGGCTACTGAAAG